GTCTTTTTTTTTTTTTTTTATGAGGGTTTAAACTTAATATTTACGAAATTGAATATTCATTTATTGTCGAACAATTTTCTTATATTACTATAATTCAAAAACGTAAATTTTACATGTGTTTTATATCATTTTCAAAATATTATTGATTCATTTATATAGAAATCATATTAATTTTTTTTATACATTTTGAAAAATTATTTACGTTGCGTTAAAAAAACTTTAAAAATTCAGTATAACTGTATAAGTTATTACAATAGCAATTAATATTTTTTCAGGACAAAATTCATCAAAATTGTTGAAAATATATAAATTACCTTATTAAGTTATTTGGTTGTAATTAAAATAGGTATTATTTGTGAGCATTTTATACCGCCAATTACATTTTAAGGTACAATGATTTAGGAAAAAATTAATTTAACCTTCTACTGTGTTACTAATAGTAAAATAAATTACCTTAATACTTATCGCAATAATATTATAAAATATAGGCTGACACACTTGAATTGGCTACTTATAAAATTAAAAATATTATCTAACTAGATTAAAATTTCTTCAGTCCTTTAAATTTTGATGCTTTAGAATGATTTACCATCATAATTATAATATATTGATATTTGAACAATATTGAATAACAAATATCGACATATTGATGTCATTTGCATTCCTAGAATCAAATAGGATGTTTCCTAAATTATTCGTACATATAAGTATATAACATATATACAGGATGTAACAGTACTATTTGAAAAATATAGTAATATTTGTAATGGAAATTTGTTAAATAGTCCTGGTACAAGAGTTACACCTTATATATATATATAAATTATATTATTATATAAGACTAGATATATGAGAATGAGATAATGATATATAGATATAGTCATTTTTATACTACTCATAATGACATAACTACATAAATACATAATGTATAATTATTATTCACAATAAAGTAAGGTTACTTTATCATGTAAATATATCAACATTGTTATCATATACATTTATATAGGTACCTATATTTAAATCATTCTAATTTCTAAATATTAAATAAGTCATAAGTAAAAAAAATTTAAATTAATCCTGTATGGCCTTAGAAAAAATATGTTTACAAAACATTTTGAGGTCTCTTTTGATCTACTCTTCAAATATTCTCCAATAGATACTTTTAGTAATTATTCTGCAATCAAACATTTATAACAGATTTTTAATTTGTATTTTGTTTAAACAGGATGTTGAAAATTGCATTGAAAAAATTGAATTTCCGGCTGACGGAATAGTCATAAAATTCATAAACTCAATAGACTCGAAGAATTTGTTACTACTAGATGCACAAACCAAACTTACTCAGCATCTTGGTTAGTCTTTTTAAGACGGTTAAAAATTATTAAATACAAATTTTGTTTAGTTCATATAGGCATAAAAGGTATTTAGGCCTCTAATTTCATGTTAGAATATACTACCTATATGTTATGATATGTATAATATAATACATACGACTATAAAATATTTTAAGAGTTAATACATTGATACCTTATTATTTTTAAAAATAGAGCGTTATGGAATACACTGTCCAATACCTGTGTTCAATAAATATGGAGAAAGTTATCGATCTATCATTCTAAGTAAGTGATGAAATTACTTTTTGATTTTTTCAAAAGGGGCTTTATGCATTGGCGTAATTCCATTAAATTTCAGCAGGTTCAAAACTTTTATCGGTCCAGTAATTATAATGACAAATTAAATTATATATAAAGTTAATTACTTTGCTACTTTAGATAGGTATCTTTTTATATTTGATAACAATATAAAATAAAATAAATATCAAAATATGTATATTTTAAACGCTGTATGTGGTGTATTTGTACCATAACATACCATTATACATATAAAAATATAATATTAAGGTATATGAAATGAATTATAGTGGAACAATATTTTTAAAAAGTTTATTAAAATGTTATAGTATAAATATAGTATGTAGATGTAGTGCTTTAATAAGCATAAAGTTCAGCACCTGCAGGTACAAAAGCACATCTTTGAAACTGTTACATAATACCAGGTGCAAAGGCACCCCCATAATTAATGGCACTGGTTTTATGATAAATTATGTATAATAATACTAAGTTCTATAAACTATACTTTAGAGTTTTATGCTTGTTTTTAAAGATGATAAAAAGCATGCAGTCAAAGTCTATAAATATATAAAAGGAGAAACTATGAACAAAATTAAAATTAATTCTGAATTATCTGCCAATTTTGGTTTTTATGTTGGTAATTTAACATCAATTTTAAAGGTATGTATCTGGATATTTTTTAACTTAATATGTAAGAGAATATCTTAAAAGTTAAAACTAAATTTATTATATATTTATTACAATGATATTTAGAAATTTGATCACGATGGATTCCATCGAAGTCATTTGTGGGCTCTAGAGAAATGTCCAGAAGTTCTAAAATTTGTAGATGTTTTTGATCAAGAAAAACAGAGACAAACAATTACAACAGTATTAAACAAATTTCAGTTTAATGTTTTGTTAAAAGCTGACAGTCTTGAAAAAAGTTTAACTTAAAGTTTACTTTACTAATACAATTATTACTTTGTTTAAAACAAATTTTTATTTTAGGTGTTATTCATGAAGACCTCAATATGAATAATATAATCATAAAAGACAACAAAATATTTGGTATTATAGATATAGGTGATGTTGTCTATTCATTCACAATTTTTGATTTTGCTGTTGCATTAAGTTATCTAATTATGCACGAATTTAAAGAAAATAATGCCAAGTTATCTGATATACAAATTAAAAGTTTTGTTGAAGCTTATGAAAAACAGTACAGAAATTTAAACGATTTTGAAGTCTCAATAATACATGTAATTGTATAAATTAATTATTATTTATTTATTTTAATATATAAAGTTGCTTATAATTTTTAAAATTTTAAAATTACATTATAATTTTATTTCAGACTTGTATATGTGCCAGAATTTGTCAAAGTTTGGTTTTGGGTAAAAAATCAAGTCTGAGAGATTTATCAAATAATTATGTATTATCTACACAGAAGAACGGATGGAGGGTATTAGAAGAATTAATGAATATTGAAGAAGATAAATTTGTTATGTTACTGAAAAATTAATTCGAGAAAATTATATTTAAAAAAATTTTACCATCATTATTGGATTTAGATTTATATAAATTAAGACAATTCTATAAATACTATCATTTGATACATCAATTAATCACAAATTAATAAATTGTTACTTAATATGCTATACCTATATTTAACTTTCTTAAATCCCTTAATATTTCTTTCAATCTTCACCCTATTTGAAACCTACTATAAAAATGGGTAATCACCTTTATTTTTAAGGATGGCTTCAGATTATAGTCAAAGTATTATGCTAATTATATATTTACTGTTATTGTTTAGTTATTTTACCCTCTGCAGCAAAAGCCATTTGGATTTATAAAATATATTTACAATATATTACATACAATTAAAGATTATAAATCTTTTGCAATAATTAGTCATATAATTTATTTATTTATTTGTACGTGATGAAATCGACAATTAATTTACTTGAGTCCGGGGTTATATTGATGTGAAAATATATACTCTTATAAATCATTATTTTTCTAATTTATATATATATATATGAAGATGGGATATATGAGTAAATTTTATCCATTTTGATTTTTTACAACTGCCGGAACAAACAACATCCTAAATAATAATTATCAATGTTAAGCACAATTGAAGATATATAAGGAATATTTTTAATCGTGATATTAAAGTATATCCAGATCATTTTGGTACATAATATATCTATCTGTTTAGATCTTTCGTGAATCTATGAAATGAAATAGTGGAAGGTGATATTATACCATAAGGATTTCAGTTAGACACTGTCAAACTGCTAAGACCTTTTTTGATACCGTTATTATTACTGTAATTCACTTTTTTAACATTCATTACTACTACCTATTAGTATTAACACTGCTGTAACTTGTAAGTAGTAATATTTATGATAAATATTTAACAATATATGGGAACACGAACACAATGTAGAGAAGAAATAATATAATAATAATAATAATAATAATTAGTAGTTGATAATGTGAGTGAGAATTTCTCAATTTCAACTAGATTAAGGAGTAAAATAAACTACTATTATAACAATCTTGGGCCAATCATAAATTCATAAAATTTTGTTCGCCATTTTCATAGATTTGTAATAGACAATAGTAATGATTCCAGATTCGTAAAAAATAAGAATTAAAAACTCTATTGATATTCGATGGTCTAATGTCTATCCATTCCATATTCCATCCCTATTTCTATCTCCATTTTAGTACAGACAGTGTAATCAGTGTATAGTGTCTTGTATTATTGTATAGGTATAGTATTTTGCCTTAACCTAACTTATATTAGTCGATTTTAATCATGATTGTTGTGGATAATCACTATGGTAATTTTTATAATATAAATAACAAAATTAACGCTTATTGTTATTATAAATTACTTACTAAGTTTTAAGTTATCACCTTAATTTGCATAAGACAAAAACAATAAGTTATGGCATTAGCCATATGTTGGTGTGGGGCATGAATTAAGATATACTTATTTAGATATATCTTAATTCATGGGCGACTCATACAGTCATGATATAACAACATGGTATAACTACATGATCGTAACCACGATTAAAGATAATATGGTTGCCCAACGAACTATGATAAGAAACAATTTAATGGAGCTCATAAATTCTTTTATTATCAACGATACCCTAGAAACTTTCACTAGCTCTCATAGAATATGAATTAAGCATAGACCTTATACTCTGAGTATAAGGTCTATGGAATTAAGTACTAGGCATCTGAATTCAATAATGTTCTGTGATAACAGTGATAATATGCACAATGCACAATATTTTCCCGCGAAAATATGAAAAAGTAAACGTGATTAAAAATACGAACTTTTCAACGATTTTTACAATTTATTGTGATTTCGTGATTCGTAATTTTAGTGTTAATTGTACTTCTAGTAAAGAAATATCTACTTTTGGTGTTTTACTTTGACATTTGAATGTAACGTGCATCAAACTGATATGCTAACTGATATATGTAGTACGTTTGTCATAATGAGAATGAGACAGTATACATATATTAAAAATCAGATGAATAAAAAACAAAATAAAACTAAAAAAAAATTATCAAAACTCGTAGGTAGTTAGCTAAAATTATAATTTACATTACATACAGAAAGTGACGTACCTAAGTACTTTATTAATTAATCGTTAAAAATATATTGTTTTTAATTTGTGTCAAAACATAATATAAATGTGTTACAGACTTACAGTATCTATCATTCTGTGTTTTTAATACTTTTTATAACATACATAAATTACTAAATTAGTAATATGAAGATAATATGATGAAAGGTAGTATAATATTATCAATTMAAATTATTCAAATTTGTGATTCAATATTTTAACGTTTGGAGCGCCAGTTCTCGGTTCTACTTGTTGTGATARCAAGGAAWMTCGAAGAGTCACTTTATTATGCTTCGTTGTGCAACCATATTATCTTTAATCGTGCTCGTGACTCGTATCATGATCATCGATTGCGTTAAAATAATATATCGATAGTTGCAACAAATTTTTTTATCGATACTACACTGTTTATGATCTTACTGATCTTAGGTTGTTTTCAATCCTGAATCCATTTTGTTTTGGAATTTGGACGTATTGGTCCGCTTTCGTTACTCCTCCGTTTAGCATAAGTCTTGAAATTTGAATCGGTGAGTGATTTGCGAATGTGATACTACACGTTACATTATAGAATTTTATATATTATAAATTAATAATTATATAAAATATTATAATTTTTGGTACCTTAAAAATAAAGAATGGTGAAGACTGAAATGGATTATGCAACAGCTAAAGACAGGCTGTTTTCCGCCTAAATACGTAACTATATTTATTTATTTACTATCATTTTTATTTGTATAAATTATTAGATAATAATAATACTAGGTATTTACTTTTTAGTTAACTTCAAGTTTTTAACTTTTTTTGTGTATAATTTGTATAGTTTTCGCTGTAACTACTAGAATCCAATCGTTATTGAGTTTTATTTTCCATTGACGTTTGATGATTTTCAGTACCGTGACATCTATTGTGTTAGTTTTACAATTTAATAAGTGAGTGTGATCTACTTTTACATAGTTTTTTTTTAAATATTGATGTAATTAAATTAAAATAATCAAATATATTGTTTATTTATTAGTAAATTAATAATTAATATTTCTAGGTATTTTAATGGTTTTATTGTGCTACAGTGTGAATGACTGGATTGCCTAAAGATTTTAAGTCAAAAAAAATCACTGTAAAAATTGATAATATGAAACGCAGAAGCTATGGTGATTCTCCTCCAATGTCACGTAAAAAACGACATAGCAGTGTTAACAGGTATGATGGTAGTTCAGATGAGCGAGGATCCCCTGAACGTGTACGTCGTAGAGCTCGCTCGCCACCCAGTCCAAGACCATCTAGGTATTCAGAACGTGACGAATTTGGCCGTTCTAGGGATTTGGATCGATCACATCCCACTTACAAAGTGTTGTGTGTAAGTGCTTTACATCCAAAAGCAAGTGATGAACAAGTCAAAGAAACATTGTATAGAGAATACCGCAAATTTGGCGAATTTTCTGTTAGGATATCACATGAACTAGATGAAAGAGTGGCATATGTGTGTTTTAGAAGCTCAGATGATGCTAGAGATGCCAAACACAGTAAGCCTAGAATAAGTTTGTTTGATAAAATAGCTTTAGTTACTCCTGTTTATGAAGGGCGTAGTTCTAGAGATCATTACGAACCAAGAGCTAGACGTTCTCGATCTCGAAGTTTTTCCCCAGATTTTGATCGATACTACCATAGATCTCCTATTCCTCAAGAATTTCATAGACCACATCCAGCTGATAGGTTTTATGAAAGGTTACCATATGGTCCTCTTCCTCCCATGTTGCCGCCTCGAGATTTCCGAGAAATGGGTTTGCCACCATTACTTCCTCATGAACTTATGTTACCTCGAGGACCGTTACTACACCATGTGGCTCCTATGCACCCTCATTTAGGACCGATTCATCCATTATATGGACCGCCAAGACATTTTATGCCTCCATTTAGACCACACCCTCATCCTCACTTGTTGCATGACAAAAAAGATAAATTTCCAAACTATTTGCAACACATTCCACCAGAAGACGACCCGTTAGCCACACGAACATTGTTTGCTGGAAATTTAGAAATTTCTATTTCGGATGAAGAACTTCGCCGTATATTTGGTAGATATGGAGTTGTTGAAGATATTGATGTTAAAAGACCATTGCCAGGAACAGGTAATGCATATGCATTTGTTCGTTATCAAAATTTAGATATGGCTCATAGGGCCAAAGTTGAATTATCTGGTCAATATCTAGGCAAATTTCAATGTAAAATTGGCTATGGAAAATCTACACCAACACAACGAATATGGGTTGGTGGATTGGGTCCTTGGACATCAATTGCTCAGCTAGAACGAGAATTCGATAGGTTTGGTGTTATCAAAAAAATTGAGTATGTCAAAGGTGATATTTGCGCCTATATACAGTTTGAAAGTATTGATGCAGCTACCGCAGCTGTCAAAGAAATGAGAGGAGTGGCTTTAGGAGGCCCAGAACATAAACTGAGAACAGATTTTGCTGATGGAGGGGTCTGTGGCAGCCCTATATTAACCTATTCATCAAAGTCTAAGTCATCTCATAACGATGTTGCAGCAACTGCCGGAGATTTACGAGAACTTACAAGACGAGATGAATATCCATATGGTTGGCCAGATGGTGAGTATCCTTCCTATAGTTCTAGAGGTTATCGTAAAAATCGTTCAGAATACGGTGAAGAAAGCAAAGAATTTGGCAATTATGACAACGGTCGTTCATTCAAGCAGCATTCTGTTTCTGATGTTGGTTCTCCTCGATCACCACTTCACCAATCGATTGACAGTGATGTAGAATCCGAAGAAGGAGCAATACAATCTGCAGGCCTTTTGGGTTCTGTTCGTACCCTAGGAGATTTGGCTCTTAAATGTACTGATATATGGCAAGGAAGTCTTGTATTAAAAAGCTCTCAGTTCCCAGCTAAATGTTATTTAACTTCTGGTGATCCAAATGTCATAGAATCAATGATGAAAGATGAAGATGGTAAATCAACTTTACGCATAACTCAACGGTTGCGTTTAGACGAGACAAAGTTGGAAGACGTTTCTAAACGTATAATAACTGCTGATATGCACGCCATATTTTTAGCAATGCCTTGTTCTACTAACTCAATTTCCAATGATGATGCATTAGTACAAATTAGACCATTACGTAATTTAGTATCCTATTTAAAACAAAAAGAGGCTGCTGGGGTTATATCGTTAATAACTAAAGATCCTGAACCAGCTGGTGTATTATATGCATTTCCTCCATGTGAGTATTCAGCCAAATTATTGAAACAGAGTGCAAAGAATTTAAGCAATGAAACATTAAAAGATGATCATTTAGTTGTGGTAGTAGTTAGTGGAGGTGTTTCATAATCAGATATTAATTTTTTAACTTTATTTTCAAGTATATTTACCTATTAATTATATATATACGAGACRTATCCATATTTTTTTTTATCAACAACATTTGATTATTAAATATTATTAATTACTATAAATTCTAATAACACTAGAATACATTTTAGGTTAAATATTTTTGATTCTCTACAAATTGATACTACAGTATTTATGTTCTTAATTTGAAAGCATAAGTCCACAACAAAACAAGTTATTGTGGGTTATGAAAACTGTGTAAACGTTTTTAATATGTGCTTAAAACTTAATGAAAAATTTTAGTTAAATTAATTCAAGTTTACACGCACAGTGTAATTACATATTAAACATGTGGAGTGCGTAACATATTTTATACACATTGTGCTGCTATGTCTAGTTCATAGAATATTATTATAAGTTTATTAATGTGTATTAAAGTGATTCAATATGTTTGATAACCATTTGCATAATGCATTATTTTATTATTGATAAGTGTTAATATTTATACTGATTCAATTAAACCTTTTCTCTTATATTTTTGAAAAATGGTGTAAATTATCAAGCAATCCAGTTAACTTGGATTGTTCAGTAATCTTTTTTGAAGTGTCGTAACTATTTTAGACCAAATAATTAATTTTGTGCGTTACAGTAGCTTTATAATAAAGTGTAATTCGCGATTCAACTGTTGTTCTTTTTAAAAATTATCTTAAATCATGTATAGCATATTTAATTGATTACACAATTTCTTTGATATGAAATATTGGTGTTTTTTATTACATTTTTTTTATTGGAGTTAAACATGTAAGTTTAGTAAATTTTGTGTCAGGTATCTACAATTGTTTGTTGGTGTTGTGCTCAGTGTTAACAAAGTTTGGTGTCTTATTTCTGATAAAGATATGTGTATATAATATTAGATTCAAATAGTGATTATTAAAATTAAAGATTTATAAACATTAAATTTCAATTTTATTAAATTTGATTTCAGGCTGACAACTAKAAGTCTAGAACTCAATTCTATTCATAGGCGTGCGCATAGGGTGGGCAAGGTAGGCCATGGCCCACTCTGCGAGCTGTACTGTACTTGTTATACATATTGCAACCTGATGAATTTTTATCATGAAACTCTAATAATAATATTACAGATTATAATTTTCAATGATAGTTGATAATTAATTAAATACATTGAAACATTGAACAATTTAATTGATAAAATATTTTTAAGTACCTAAATTATAATTGATTTGGCCTACATTGCCAAAAAGGTTTGCGCACGCCTATGTATTAAAAGCATTTTTTTGGAATTTCAAAAATGTTATTGATGACTAAAATTTGTAATTTTAACCGAATTTTAATATTCATTGACACTTCAATCTTGCTTCAGTCTTTATTCATTATTATTGATTTATTATGAAGTGCTTAAAATTGTCACATATTATTTATATTCCAAAATTTGTTATAACTTACTTGATGAAAATAAAATAAAATAAACATTTTCCTAATATTGTATTTTAAAAAAAAAAACTGACTAATTAGTTTAATTATTAGTCATCCTACCTACTATTAATCAAGATTTAAGGTATTATATATTAGACAGTTATGAAAACATTTAATCAGCTATTCTGTGATTTTAGTATTAAAAAAAATCCCATAGACTTGAGATGTCTTGTTATAATAAAAAAATATAAATTTTGAAATTCCTATGACTGTATATGACATTATATTACGTAGGTACTTCTTATGTAATTTGAAAGTTTTAATGATATGGCAATAGTCTCCACTTATGCACTTTAACTTTTTACAAGTGCAGGTTAATCAGCAAATATTGGTATAGCCATTGGATAAAAATAATATTGTAATGCTTGCGTGCAAATAATTACATGTATACATAACCCTCAGTATCCAGGCTTTAAAAAAATCAACGGCCTTTCATGAAACCAATGGTAAGAAAGTGTAATTATATTATTTGTAGTATTAAACAACTTGCATAGGGCCTTGAATATTTAATATTAAGATCAACCATAAATGTAAGTATATTATATGAGAAGTGTTAATGGTAAATATAACTTGCAATTAAATCTTGAAATATTCATAAACATCTCCTTTCAGTGCAATAAATATATATATGCGTGTGACATGGAAACTAATAATTAAAGAATATTCACATTCCAAATAGATATTATACTTCAATGCTTTGTATAGTTATAGCATAAGGGGATTTGGATTTTTTTTGTACCATTTTTATAAAATATAGACTATACTAAGTATATTATATAATAATATTTATAGTTTAAACGCTTTATATAAATGTAATTGACCAGTTTTTTTTATAAAAAGATCATGGAGGGATAAGACACCCAAATTCACCTCCCTTGAAATTATGCCATTGTAGAAATGTACAGTTGCAGAGTGGTTACCTATTTGCCAACTGATATTATTGTATTTAACCTACCTAATGTTTATACATATATATGTATTTTTACTAGAATCTAATTATTGGGCCATTTAATGATTTTGAGGACTGTGGGTGGTATACTATATAATTTTGACGCGTGAAACGTGGTTTTGCTATTATTTACTGAGCAGTGAGCTCCAACATCATATGGATAGGTCCACTAAAAAATTGAGATTTTCCTGCTAGGCCTCCATCTGCTCAATGTTACATCAAAAGTGTTAAGCACATCCAATCATGCCCTCCATTAAATTGTCCTAACCACAAAGAAGAAGTCACATTTTAAAGTTCTGTGGCAGCATAAAAAACTTGCTTGAAGAGTAAGTATCTACGATGCCGATCCCTGCCATCTAATGCTCTGCTCAATTAATCTCAAAATCAGACTTGTCTATTAATAAGTACATTGGTCGTGTCTACCTACATTTCATAATTTAAATAATAGAAAGAAAACAAGAAAGTTGGATTGAAATGGAAAGACTAACGATTTTTACCACACACATTTATGCTGTCGTTTATGAGCATTATAGTTGATTTATTTAATAAAAAAATAATTATAATTCTATATTCATGAATAAATCTAAAAAATATTATTTTATTTACATTTGTATTTTATAAGTAGTAATTGTCTAGAGTACGTTTCACTGACATCCCACATGTGTTGTGCCATTGTCACAATTTAGTTCATCAACCCAAGTTATATTGTAATCTAAACTAATAAGTAATAACTAAAGTGCTTTAATTTTCATTCATAAACCGATAATTATTTTATCATTAGCCTGAATTATATTTTTACCTGTAATATTTTTCTACTCAAGTTTTACTTGATCAAAAGCACCATTATTATAATGTATAACTGCAAATAAATTTAATAATGGAACATTATAGATGATGTTACATCCACATGTGTGTTTTCCTCTTCACGCGTCAGACGTACCAAATTTTTGTTCACCAGTTTCAAAAGTGTACTATTAGTATTGATATTAGAGTGAATTGGTCTATTATAAACTTAAAAGGTAAGAATTTTTTCTAAGGCAAGCTTTATTGATATTTTTAAGTAAGTTATGATCATTTAAAATGTACAGTTTCAAAATCGTCATAACTTAAAAATAATAATATCAATAAAAGCATATGTGGGGTTACATCTTATAATATTCTCTTTAAATTGAATAATAAACCAACCAATTCACTMTAAATTAAAACTAACAATACACTTTTGAAACCGGTGAACAAAAATTTGATATTTTAGACGTGTGTAAGACAGAGACCACACATGCAGAAATAGATGTGACAATGTCTAAAAATCAAGTTTTTAAAAATATAAAACATAATTATTTAATATTGCAATAACTTAGTATAATATTAATTTATAATACAAAAATAAAACAAATAATATTCAATTTATTAAATAACAGATAGTTGTAAAATAGGTATCAGCAATTGTGCAGCATCTTGGATGTATGAACTACTATTGGATGACTAAAAAAAAATACAGAAAAATATTATAAATTTAGCTTAATGGTAGAGTAAGTATAAAGTAAATAAATTACCTCAAGATAGACATCACTAATGTTATTAGAAGTACCATCAGCATCATATTTTGTTAACAAACTTGCATATTTATTGGCAATAAATCGAATTCGGCAACATACAGATTCATTTAAGCTAAAAAAAATAAATGATTACAATTTGAAAATAATACGGGTTATCATGTAACACATCATACAGAGAAAGTTTTTCAGCTTTTACAGTGGCTAGCTGACTTTGTGTATCAATCATTATCATTTCCCCTAACTTATAGAATAATTCCATTGCAGCTGCAGTTAATTCGGCTAATGCAGAAATAGCTTCATCATGAATGCTATCCTCGCTATCAAACTCTTTGTTTGATTTTTCATCAATAAAATCACTAACCTAATAAAATATAAAGTATAAAATAATTCATTCATTTATGCATTATTTAATAAAACCTATGAACTTACTCTCAGGATCTTCTCCGTTTTTACATCAGAACTTATTTGATTAATACAAGTAATTAATGAATTTTTAAACTCTTCTATGGTCATTATTTTTTCATCATCCTCAAAATCAAGATAACATAAATCTTTTATTTGATCTAATTTATCTTGAATATCAGTTAACTGAGTTCCTGAGTAAGACAACAAAACAGTTTGAAGTTTCATCTGACATTGTTTTGATAATAGTTCAAGACTCTCTAAATGAATTAATCCTGAAAATAATAAAGAAGTTATTTTATTAGTTATATTATAATTATATTAACAACATATTTTATTAGTTAAAAAAAAATATATATATATAAATTATTAAAATATATGGTGTGATGCAGTATGATATGTTTTTGGTATTGATATTGATTTTATACTACAATATTAAATACCAATGTCAAAATATTGAAAAAAAAAATGTATTGACTATTTCTTTACACACATGATAAAAACTTCTTATAAATCTATTAGGTAATATTATAATATTATACCTGAACGGCTATACAAGAAATAAACTTATTAAATTAAATACAAAATATGTAGAAATTAAATATAAAAATAACATGAATGTTATTCAGTTTTTTTTTTACTAATAGTTATGTAATAATTATATAATAATATAATAATTATGTACCCACATAGGTACATTTATTAGTCTTTACTAGGAACAGTAGGTAATAAAAATGACGAAATTGTATTTGTCGAAAACAATATTTTATAGATTAATTATGTTGCGGGAATTCTCGTAAAATTAATTTACGAACAAAATGGAATTTAGCGTCCAGATTACCGCGTTCACCGGATTATCGGGGGTCCGGACTATCGAGGCTCTACTGTAATAATAAACAGTTCATATTAATTTATATATATTCTTAAAAATAAGAACTAATTTCATGTCTGAAATAAAACACCTAATAAGAATTATTACTTATTTGTCATTAAAATATTAAAATATCCAAATCATCTGTACAAATGTTACGCTAAACTACATTATTACTACTATTAAATAAAAATAAATTTTTGTTAGTGCAAATCATAAAATTTGTTACCTTGAAAACTATCAAACAAATATGCATATCCTTTTCTTACTTCAACTTGATTATTTTGTTTCGATTCAATTTCAGCTTTTTCTTTAGCTTCTTGTAATACCTGGAAATAATCCAATGAGCAATAAAAAATATAAGATTTAGAATATATAAACAATCAATTAGCAACTATCAGTGAAGAACCAAGGAAAAGGACTTGAGGGTTATATGCTATACTATAGCAGCTATAGAATAAAAATCATTGCACTCACATCATAAGAAATTAAATAAAAATAAAAAATCATTAATTTATACAATACATTGGCTGTTATCTACTTGTCTTGTTTCATTCACCAGGTACACACAATTACAAGTTAATTCATAATTGTTATAAATTGAAAGTTTTAGAATTATTTGAAAAAAGCTAAATATTTACATAATTCTATTGGTAGTCCACTTTTTTTACATTTCATTTACAGTATAAAACTAATAATTAATGTGAAGTATCTATGATTGTTAATTACTATACTCTGTTTGATATATTAAGAGTAATCTCAGGTGGCAACCAATTTTTGTTAGGTTTTATCAGACCACACACTAAGTTTAAATCAATCTTTTATTTTAAGCTTTCATTCTGAAAATTTTCAGAGACATAAACGGCAAATACTGCTTTTCCAAGTTAATCTTGGCAAAATATAAGGTGGTTATTAGAATAATAAAGTGATTCTTCTGAAATTGGCACACATTGTCCATACCCATTTCCATCAGTATGCACAGAAACCTATAACTTTTAAAGTATAGTACTTTTAAATAAGACAGTGTAAATTATAAAACATGACCATAGTCCATAACTAATTAAGTTTAGAACACTTAAATAAATATTAAATTGAAAAAAACTAAGTGAAAACATCAAAAACTAATAAGCTATAATATATTAAACTAGAAGTATTCAAACTTTTTCA